CAGGAGTTGAGGGAGAGCTGCAATGGTGAGGGTGGTCAGAGGGATCAGGAGTTGAGGGAGAGATGCAATGGTGAGGGTGGCCAGAGGGATCAGGAGTTGAGGGTCTATCACAGGCGGTGCAGGCAGGTTGATCCTAATCATCAGTAGTCCAGGCCAGCTCCAATCTCATATGCATCTCCAAGTCCAGGTATTACAGTCCCGGGGCCCACAGAGACTTCCTCTATTGTTACCATTTCACCTCCTACAGATGACCTTGACCTTCCGATTGCCATTCATAATGGGAAACGACATTGTACCACATCTACAGCCCACTGTATTTCCCAGTTCTTATCCTATGATCGCCTATCTCCTACCTACAGGTCCTACCTTACTCCAAGAACAGTGCAAGAAGCTCTATCCGTCCCAGAATGGAAAGATGCAATGCAGGTTGAGATGAATGCCCTGTTGAAAAATAACACCTGGGAGGTAGTTGATCTGCCCAAAGGAAAGAAACCAGTTAGTTGGATGCAGATGGGTATTTACGGTGAAGCATAATGCAGATGGCTCCATTGAGAGGTATAAGGCTYGGTTAGTTGCAAAAGGGTTCACACAGACTTATGGCATAGATTACTTGGAGACCTTTGCCCCGGTAGCCAAGATGACTACCATTCGGGTCCTATTATCCCTTACAGTGAGTCACACTTGGCCTTTATACCAAATGGACGTGAAAAATGCTTTTCTGAATGGAGACCTGCAGGAAGAGGTTTACATGCATTTGCCTCCTGGATTCTATGATGCAGAAACAGGTAAGAAGGTCGGCCGGCTCAACAAGGCTTTGTATGGTTTGAAGCAGTTACCTAGGGCTTGGTTCGATAGATTCAGACTAGCCCTTGTGAAGTTTGGTTTTGTACAGGCTTAGTCAGATCATACTCTATTCATCAAGAGGGTAGAGTCCTCCTTGACACTATTGACAGTATATGTTGATGATATTGTGGTGATAGGGAATGATAGCCATGAGATTGAGTCCCTTAAACAGCTCATTCATCAAGAATTTGAGGTGAAAGACCTTGGTGTACTCCGGTATTTTTTGGGTATT